TGATCTTAGTTTCCTAATACTATGTGAACTATCTTGCGGAGAATTACAAAGAAACCCCAAACAGTCAAAGCTTTGTTCTGACTGTTATCATACTGCCAATGCTAACTTCAAGCTGGCTATGTAGCCAAGGATGACCTAGAATTCTTGATCCTCCTCCCAAGTGCAGAGTATGTGACGCAAAACTCAGCTAGAAAACAGTGAATTGCCCTTCCTATCTCCTCTTCCAAATTACATCATAATGTAGCTTATGAGACAATAAGAATAACAAGTTCTTTGCTCTCTTTTCAAGGCTTTTCTCTGTGGGGACGTTTTTTAGCCATACTTTATGATTTCCTATTTTTCTTGACTTGGATTTAAAAATTTACATTTTGGTGCTCGTGAGATGGCTTGGTGATAAAGGCACTAAGTGCCAAGCCTGATGACCTAAGTTCAATCCCTGGAACCTATGTGGTAGAAAAAAACAACTCTTGCTTCTCTGAACTCCCCAGTAGTCTATGACACCTCCCTTCTCTTAAAAGGTAATTTTAATTTTTCAAGTTTACTATTTTTACATTTATTTCAAAAGCTAAATAAAAATAATCAGTCCTTATTTAAAAACTCTATACTAAAGTCTACTGCTGACTTAATCAGGTCTTTCGAACTGAAATGTTTCCATATCTAGTTTTTCTTCTGTTCACAACACATCAACTATAAACTTTTCTCCTCTTTTCCATTACTGGTGTACTTCCATGTACCCTGTTGTCCACCCCAGCCACTTGCTCAAAAAGCTAGAACCTTAGCAGCTATATCCTGGGCCCCTTCACTTAGCTTTAGCTGCCCTATCTAGCTAGTATAAAATCTGTCCAGTATAAATCCTAAAACACTTTGAGTCTATCCCCTCTGATTTTCTTGTCTCCTTCACATTCAGATGGCATTAGCTACACTCTTTCCAACTCCTCTACTTGCCACTCACTTCTTCCTTCCTCTTTCTTGAGCTTCTTTATTACACAAACCTGGCCACATAGTTCCTACGTTTATAAATCTCTCTAGGTGTATGGAGATGCCCATCAATTGAAAGCCATTAGGACTACTTTAAAGCACATTAGCGCCCTCTAGAGTTCACACTTCATTAACTGAGTAGGGATTAGACATAGGTAGAGAGGTGTTTGCCCTGATATAGCACACACTCTTAATTAGTTTGAATCTCCATTATAATACTAGTATTTTGAAAAGGTTTACTTAAAAAAAGGGGAGGGGGGAGATGCACCTTTATTCCTAGCAATGAGGAGGCAGAGGCAAGTGGATTCTGTGAGTTTGAGGCCCACCTGGCCTACTATTTATAGTGGGTTCCAGGACAGCCAGGGCTATGTAGAAAGATCCGCTTCAAAAAAAAAAACAAAACAAAACAAAAATCCACTATAGACTAGGGATATAGCTCAGTGGTAGATACTTGCATAGCACGTACGAGTCCCTGGGTTAAACAACTTCATTACCAGGCAGACTCTGTTCATCCTTTGATAGATCTCCTTGACTTAAACCTCACTGGAAACTCCTCACAGAAACACTCAGAGCAGTGCATCCTAAGAGATTATAGATGAGGTCAAGCTGAAAATTTAAATTCACCACCACAGATTTCCTTCAACTTTCTTATATACAGAGATTAATGGCTTTATCGAATTTTTGTTTTGTTTTGTTATTTTTCAAGACAGACTTTCTCTGTGTAACATAGCTGTCTGGGAACTCACTTTGCAGATGAGGCTGGTCTCAAACTCACAAAAATCCTTCTGCCTCTGACTCCTGAGTACTGGGATTTAAGGTATGCACCACCATACCCAGCCATGTGTCTTTATTTTTTGAGACAATGTCTTACTATCATGACAGGACTGGAACTCACTATGTAGACCAGGCTAGCCTCAAACTCACACAGATCCACCTGCTTCTACCAAAACAAAGTCAGTCGGTTGTGACAATGAATGTTAATTAAAATCCTTGCAGTTGGGAAGCTGAAGCAGGAGAAACAGGAATTCAAGGACAGCCTATGCCACACAGATCTTGTTTCAAAGCAAGAAAGGAAAGAAGAAGCATTAACATGAAAGCCAATTAAGCTGACTCTTAAGTATAATAAAATGTCATTACTTTCTCTTCCTTTTCCCATTTTACTGGGTAGTTGACCAAGAATACAGATGTTCAAGTGTTCTGAAAAGTTAAGTTTAAAATACAAAGCTAGCATTCTCGTCTTAAGGTAAGATGTAAAATAAACAGAAGAATATAAGAGTTAGGAAAATGAGCTGAAAGCTGCAGTATGAGACTGAAGAGAGGTGAGTTGCTGTGCTGTCGGAGAATGACATGTGCAGCCTTGATGGAACTATGGCAGAGGCACATAAAATCTAAAAACAGAGCTTTAGGTTCAAAGAAGCACTAAGTCAAAAGACTTTTACATCATTCTCCTTAAATGAAGTATTTCAAATTTCTATCCTTTAAAGAGTAAAATTAAAGCACTTCTGAAACAGTTGTGATTTCAACTCCAGTTCTAAAAAACAAAAAGTATTTCCATCACCTAAATCCCAGGGATTGAACTCAGGTTTGGCACCAATCACTATTACCTGCTGAACCATCTCAAGGGCTCTGAAATGCTCAGGAATTTTTGTTATTGTTATTGTTGCTTCGGGTTTTTTTTTTCCATTCAATCACTAAATTGTGAAAGGAGGGGGATTAAAAAATACATTATCATATTTATTTTATTTGTTCCAATTATAACATTCCAGATTTTATTTTAGGATCAAATCTGTCAAGTAGTAGGCTAACATTTTGAGTAGCAATTTTAACGTTTTCACTTAAATGCTATTCACCGGTCACACTTCAGAAGAAGGAGCTAATTGTGATTTAAGGTAGCTCCATCATTTATAAATAAAGTCTTTTACTTTCTGTAACACTGACTACAAATTTAGATACAGAGTAAGGGATTGAGCCTGATTATTGGTGGTGACCAACAATCTGATTAAATATAGTAGACTGAAATGTTTACACACATGGTCTCTTCCCACAGAGGAAAGTGTGTAAATTCCCAGGTATACTGCTAGATTTGCCAACCTGACATAGGTAGAGTCATTTGGGAAGATAACCTAAATTGATAAAATACCTCTACCAGATTTGCCTTCAGGCAAGTCTCTGATGTGTTTTTAAATTAGTTATTGATGTGGGAGGGTCAGATCCAGTGCAAGTGATACCACCAAGCCAGTGGTCATGAATTATAAGCAAATAAGCTGAGCAAGCCAGTAAGCAGCCTCTCCATCAGTTCCCACCTCCTGGTTCCTGTCTTGAGTTCCTGCTCTGACTTCCCTGGATGATGGACCACCAATTCTAAGATAAAATAATTCGCTTCCTCCCCAAGCTGCTTTTGGTCATGGTGTTTTATCATAGCAATAGAAATCCTAAGACCTGAAGGCTAATGAGGATGTGAAGTAAGAAAACATACAAATTCTGAAAGCTGGAAATTGGATTAAGAAGTAAATGATCCAGTGAGTTCAAAGGAAGCAAAGAGTAAAGTGTAAAAGAAAACAATTAGCCAGGCATGCTAGCACACACTTTTAATCCCAAAACTAGAAAGGCAGAGGCAAGCGGATCTCTGTGAGTTCCATGCTAGCCTGATCTACAAATCAGTTCCAAGGCACCCAGGATTGTTACACAGAGATACCCTGTCTGGAAAAAAGAAAGAAAAGAAGAAAAAGGAAAAAAAAAAAGGAACAGCTAGAAAGACAAATGACCGGGGGCTGGAGAGATGACTCAGTGGTTAAGAGCATTGCCTGCTCTTCCAAAGGTACTGAGTTTGATTCCCAGCAACCACAGCCACATGTAATGGGGTCTGGTGCCCTCTTCTGGCCTGCAGGCATATACATATATACACAGACAGAACACTGTATACATAAGAGAGAGAGAGAGAGAGAAAGAGAGAGAGAGAGAGAGAGAGAGAGAGACAAATGACCTTGTGGCACAGAACCTAGGAAGGCCCAGGTCCTTGAGAAGGGTATATGTGAGGTGGGGCTGGAAAATGGGAGCACTAGCTCAAAGTCTGAGAAGTAAAATTCCCTAACTCAAACAAACTTAATTAGGAGAACTGTTCTCCCTAGGGTAACAAGTGCTATACTGATAACAAGTGGGAAGATGTCAAGGTCTACACAGTGAATGCTTTGTCCATACTGTAACAGAAACTTCTAAATAATCATTTTTTTAGCATCTTTTTCCCCTGAGTGAACAGTCATGAACAATCAAACATTTTGGTTGAGTTTGAGACCAGCCTGAACTACAGAGCTAGTTCCAGAACAGCCAGGACTACACAGAAAGAGAGAGACCCTGTCTCGAAAAACAAAACAAAAAGCAACAGCAGCAATGAAAGTAAGTTAGTAACTAGAGCAAATGTCAGGCGTGGTAGTTCACACCTGCAATCCCAGATCTTGGAAGGCTGAAACAAAAGCATTGTGAGTTTGAGGTCAGCCTGGGTTACAGAGTAAGACCCTTCACCAAATCAATAAAACTGAACAAAATCTAAAGCAATTAAATGCTTTTAAATATATATATATTATACATAATATATATATTATATACATAATAATATATAATTATATAATATATAATATATATAAAATCATAGCGTGATTTGTATCACATTGAAAATGGTTTATAGAAATTAATCAAATAAATGGCAATAAACTATTACTCAGAAACTAATTGACATACTTACGAAAGCTGTACTGCTGAAAGTAAATAACCCCCTAACAAGCAGGGATCAAGGTTGAGAAGGGATAAAACAGAAATCCTTGTTTCCTCAAAACTATATAGGCAAAAACATAAGTTTACAATCTACAGAGACATTACTGATGAAAATATAAGCTACTCCTTTCCAAAATTTTCATTTGGGTCAAGGAAAGAACTAATGATCCATAAAAATAAAGACTAAGGTATAAGAAACAAAGCCAAAGTGAAGTAACCAGAACCCAAGCTTGTAATCAGATTTTCCTACTCACCATTTCTCTGGCAATTTCCAGCGCTTCCTGCAGGCCATAGAGCCTGCCACAGACCAGGTAGATTCCATTGGCCCAGAGAATACAACCCTCATGGACCCAAAATTCGTTGCTGTCAAGAGGTAGTTCAGGAATTTGTAACTCCAGCTCAGGACCACCTTCCGAAGTGGTAGGTACAGAGGGCTTTGTGTCCAAAACAGCCTTTTCACTGCTGCCCTCAGTGGCTGCTTTTTTACAAGGGAGTCCCCTGGACAGGGACCGAGGGCCTCCACCACAGTCTTCTGAGCGGTGGCGCCGCTTGAACCTAGGATGAGCAGCCAGGCTCCTCTGCTCCTTCTGCTGCTGCTGCTCCTCCTCCTCCTCAGTGTCTGTTTTAGAACCATTAGAAGCACTTTTGTGCCGAACCTTGACCTTGCTCTGCATTTCTGTGGACCTCTTAGGAGGTGGATTCTTCGGAAGAGTGGCTGCATAATCTTGGGGATAAAAGGGTCCAAAAAGATCACCCATGTTCCGGTAACTGGCCCACTTGCCACAGAGACAACAAACTAGGTGTCCCATAACAGAAGATTCTGTTACCACAGGCCCCTGTAGCATAAAGGATGAAGCTGGGAGCACCTTGCTTTCCGTGCTGCTGGGGGGAGGGGTCAGAGATCTCTGACCCTTCCGGCTCCTCACCAATTTGGTCTGTTCTTCTTCTTCAGCATTAATGATTGTACAAACAGCTCCAAGTTCACACTTATTTACTACATGGATATAAGGGAAAAAAGACTTGTTCTTGGCATCAGCTTTATCTAGAGGCTGGGTAGCATACTTTAGTTTGATCTCTGGTTCTTGAGGTTCTACAATAGGAACTGCTTGTTTGGTTTTCCGCTTCCTTGGCTGGGCCCCAGGCTTCCTTCTCTCCCTCCTTTGCCTCTGCTTTTTTGGCTTTGGCTCTCCATCTGCAGAACCTTCTGGTATCTGAGGAGGTTGAGTGGGTGGAGGTGGTGGTTGCTGCTGCTTCTTTTGCTTATTCACACTACCGATGGGTCTCCCCTTTTTCTTTCCTGATGGGAAATACCCTTTTGGGGGGAAACTTTCTTGTTTGGGTGAAATCATGACTGTTTCATTCTCTTTCTCTTCAGCCTTGGGGTTTGCCTCAGGAGCCAAAATGCCCACTGGAGCTACATTCTTTGAGTCAGGAAAGATTAGTGGTGCTGCCCCACCCAGGGAACCATCTGGTCTCCCTTGGTTACCACCAGGCTTCTGTGAAGCTGTGGATGTCATAGTACCAGAAGGTTCCTTTCCAGCAGGAGCTGTTTCTGCATGTACCTCAGTCTTGACTTTATCATCCCCACTGCCACGCCAGTCTTCAGAAGTCCCTGGGAGAGGCTTTTCAACATTTGATTCCTGGTTAGTTGCACTGACTACATCAGTAACCTCACCTTTTCTCTTCTCCATCTCAGTCTCTTGAGTAACCACAGCCCCACCTTCAGGAGGACCAGTCTTCAGAGACAGTATATCATCCAGTGTGACTGTGTCTCCCCCAGCCTCAGCACTATTCGTGGATGCACTCCTCCTAATATTTGGGGATGTGATCTTCTGAACTATAGCTTCCAATTTCAATCCCCGTCCCTTCCGTGGGGGCAGTATTTTGGTCTTGGCAGGGCTCGTGAGGGTAACAGCAGGACAGTTTCTATTGTCTGGATTTGGAAGATCCTTGGAGGCATCTCTCTTAGGGATAGACTTGATATCCTGACTGTGAGAAAGATGGGTGTAGGAATTGTATGCCTTATCAGCACCTTCCTTGGATGGGTGAAGGAGGCGCCCTTTATCATCAGTGTTACTGTTTTTTACATCTTGGGACTGTCTCTTACTGGGAATAGGGGAGATAAAAGAACGGACCCGCCTCCGCATGATTAAGGGATTTTGAGAAGAATGATCTTCTTGACCTGGAAGCCGTAGCATTACATTACTAGGTTTGGATGACTGTGTAGATTCGGTTAGTACATGTCCATCTGTCTCATGGGGTGGCCCATACCTTTTCTGATTAGACATTCCTGGAGGACCACTGCTTTTGGCTGGAGAAGTCTGCCGAGAAAGATCCCAACAAGACTCTTGTAACTTCTGAGAGCTGTGCTTCAATTCCATGCCTTTGGTAGGCAAACCATCACTAGACATGAGACAGCGCCCAGCTTCCTGAGTGCTTGGGTCATGGTACGTCCCTACTGGTGGGCCATACATCATACCATCTTTGTCATTTTTCAGGGGGCTCCGTACTCTGTCAAGAAACTGCTGCTGCCGTGGGCTCTTCCGTGGCCCTTCTTGCCTATGCTGTGCAGCAGCAATCACTCCCTGAGCAGAACTGCTGGTCCAATCTTTATACTCCTCTTGTTGCTGTTGGTATATCTGTCTCTTATAATGGAGCTGGGAATTCAAACCAGTATTAGGGTCCCCATAAGCATGAGCCCTAGTGTTTGTGTGGTAAGCAGAGGCCAGGCTTTCTGAGTTGGGAGAAAAAGGAGCATGTAAAGAACTCCTGTTGGCCCTCTCTGAAAAAGTCATGTGTGGGTTCATATGATGAGGGTCTCCCCCTGGACCTCTGCTCCTGCCTGGAGACATTTTCAGTTTTTCTGCAAAGTCATGGTACTGAGAAGAAGACCGACCCCGCATAGTCTCCCGGCTACCAACTCTACCAGGCACCCGCCTCATTGGTGTGGACCTACTGTCTTGGGGGCCATAGTCTGAAATGGAATCATGGGCTGCTGCTCCAGGGCTGACATTGCCACGATAAGACTCATGCTTGATGCTGGTAGAATGGCAGTGGTCTCCAGATTTCTTGTTGAAACTAGCTTGAGATTTGGATTGTTCAAAGTCTTCCTCTTTTATCTGCCCACTCTGGGATTTCAGCTTTGTTTCCATGGACACCAACCCACCTGGAAGAATGACTGACTGACTTAAACTTGGGTTGAGACGCTCATTCCTCCCAATTCGGGCATCAGCACCCATATGTCCCAATGCGTGAGCCCCTGGATCCCTGACAATCTGTCTTAGTGGAGAAATATCACAGATCACTGACCTCCTTTCAGAAAGGGAGCCTCCAGGCTCATGGGCTGATGATGGAGGCTCTATCTCAAACTTTCTGGGAATGGGATAGTCAGACAAATTGATCTGTTTCATTTCAGGAGCTGTGCCGCCTGACTTCCTTTCCCATGGTCCCCAATGGGGATTTTCTAACAGGGATCCGATGCTCTTGTTCAGAAGGCCCCTGCTGGCTAATTCATTGGTTTGACTGACTAAGATGTTGGGCCTTGCAGTTCCTTCCAGGGCACTAGTCATCCCTTGATGTTCCTGAGCACTTCTCGGATACCTTCTGTCAGGATGGTGGTGGTAACCCTGAAGTACTTCCTGTAGGAGGCTTGGGAACTTCTCATTTCTACCCTTTCGTTCCCCATGGCTGGTAAAATCCCCCTTTTCTTGTCCTGAAGGATACTGAGGAAAACCACTGACATTTCGTGGTATAGCTGATCCAAAACTCTCTTTGTAACTGTAGCGCAAACTTCCAGGAGATTTGTTAGGCTCAGTCCTGCCTGTGAAAGTTGGGCCTACTGCAGAGTGGCTACTTTGGCTATTCCCCTCTCCATTGTGGCTAGAGCTATTATCACCATTCTTGTTTCCTTTGCTCCCTCCTCCTGGAGGATCTGGTTGTGACAGTGAAATGTGGCTGGCTTCCTTTGTACCACTATTGCTAGGTGGCCTCTGACTGGCAGCAGGATCCTCCTCTTGGGATCCTTTATCTTGTCCACCAGATTTTTCTACCCGACCTGTCATGGCTTCCCGGGAGACAATCACCCCAATTGTCTTCTCATTGACTTTTGTGTTCCCCTCAGACAGCGGTGTGTCCTTAGCACCTGGAGAGGCAGCTTCTTCCCTAGCTGCAGGACTGGTACTGAGCCTAGGGGCCTCGTTCTGAGCACCTTGTGTTGGTGAGGAGCCAGCTTTCTCTGAAGCTCCACACTTGTAAGTGGTGTCAGAGCTAGTGCTCTGACCACTTAGTTGCCTCACTCTCTCACCTTGATCTTCCGAACTACTGGAACAACCTCCATCCAATGACTCTGCCATAGGGGACTTTAGCTGTTCTTCAGGCTGTGAAGAGCCTTCTGAGTTTGTACAGCTATCTGCTTTCTTGGATGATGATGAGGGCCTCTTGGAAGTCTTCTTCTGAGGTGTCAAGGCATCAGAAAGTAACATGTGCTGGACAGTATTAGGAAGATTGGCCACTTGAGTACTCAGAGCACTCAAACTACTCAACCCAGGATCCGTCAATCGCTTTTCGGGCACGCCTTCTAATCCAAATCCTTTGAATCCTGCAGCATGAGAATTAGGACTAGGCATCATTGATGGGGTTGGACTGAGTTGGGGCATTAGCTGTAAAATTCGGTTTCTGGAACTCATGGCCACACTGCCTTGCCCACACTGAAGATTCTCACCACTCTGCATGAGAGGAGAAGGGGTAGAGCTACAGCTTGGAGACTGAACCACAGAAGCAGCTGGAGAAGGGTTAGAAATAGGGCTGAAGTTCTGGTGAAACTGCATAGGGGACCTTACAGGAACCTCAGGCTGATTGTACTGCCCCACCTGGGTCTGCAGGGGCAGCTTGGTGGCAGCATTGGTGTACTGCATCACATGCTGGGGGGGATGTTGCTGTTGTTGCTGTGGCTGCTGCTGCTGTTGCTGCTGCTGAGGTTGTGGCTGTTGCTGTGGCTGCTGCTGCTGCTGCTGCCCCTGCTGGGTTCCTGGTGGAATCTTTGTCTGTTCAAAATTCTTCATAGACTGAGGCTGATAGCTATAATTTGATTGTGTTCCATAAGCCTGTGCATTAGAACCCACATTATGACCTTCATACTGGGATCCAGCATTCACACTGTAACTGCCATCATAGCTTTGTCCAGACTGACTGAAACGCTGTGGTGAAGGAAAGGAGGAAGAGGAAGAGGAGGAAGCAGAAGACTGGTAGTGTTGGCCAAACTGACCCACTCTTAACTGATAACCAGCAGAAGATGGCAGAGTGGAGGGTCGCTGCATTGGTTGTAGATGGGATGAGCCAGAAGCTGGCTGTCCAGTGGCTTGGGGCAGAGGTTGATGGGATTGGTAAAGCTGCTGTCTCAACTGCTGTACTTGCTGCTGTTGCTGCTGTTGTTGTTGCTGCTGTTGCTGTTGCTGCTGCTGTTGGCTGGAGGCCTGCTGTTGATACTGAGCACTCCCAGGAGAGAAAGGCCCTGTGTAATCCTGCTGATAATGAGAAACACCACCAAGGGCAGAGTGCTGTGCTTGAAATTGGCTCACATGACCCTCACTCCCATACTGATTGCCAAAGCTGCTCCCCTGGGGAGGTCCATAGCTCTGCACAGGACCAGAAGGCCTTCGCTGAGGCTGTGGGGTTCCTGCTGCCACAGGGTCTTTGTTGCCTGCCATGTAGTAAAAATCTCCAGCTTCTTTTCTGAAACCCTGGTAGCCTTGATGGCCAGAGGTCTCACTAGCCATGGTTGCAGTAGCAGCTGCTGTTCCTCGCCGTCCACTACTGTTGCTGCCAGTGCCACCACTGCCACTGTTTGCTCCCCCAAAATTCTGGAACATCTGGGCTTGACGAGGGCTGAACTCTTCTACACGGGATGAGCTGTGTACCTCCTGTGGGTAGCTCTGTTGGTTTCCGTGGTAACTGCTTTGCTCCCGAAAGGACTGCATACTGTTCAGCAGCACAGCAGCAGGCCAACAGCCCTCCTACAAAAGGAAAAGAAAGAAAAGGATGAGCCATACATCTGACTGGTACAAACAAAAATCAAGCCTAAATAACCCAATGACCAGATAAAGCAGACTGCTTTAAATTTCACCTCCTTTTTCCTTATTCTATCCATTTCTGATAATGCAAATAAGCAGGGAAATAGTCTAAAGAATGAAGGCATCTGTAACACAACAAAGAAAACACTAGGTACATACAAACATATTCAATAAAGTCTTTTAAAAACATCATTATTAGATAAACAAACCTCACAAATTCAACTGGGATAAATATTCAACTGGGGTAAATAGTAGGATGTTATTACAAGCAACAAAAAAAATATTTCTTAATTAATCTTCAGTTATAGTAGGGAAGGGTAACACAAACCACTTTCATCTCTTTATTTTCAATCATTAGACTGGCTGCTAAAGTGAGGTACCTCAAATAATGATGAGGCAGTTCTTTCAGCGGCTATTCATACCTGCTCCACTCACCGACTGACAAACAGAACTACCCTGAGACTCAAATGCAAACCACTTCAGGTTGACTGTAATTACCAACTGCCTATGATGACTATTTTCTAGGACACTCAACTCTTTGCTATTATGGATTCCTTAGTCACCCATATAAACATCCAATCTAACCCCCTCTTGACATAAAATTGTGTCCCAAGAACCCCCTCTTGACCACCTACCCTCAACTTCCAGGTATTAAGTGCTAGATATAGGCCAGCATAGGCCAGAGAATAGCAGTTACTAGTCTTTTTTTTTTTCCTTTGAGGTTCCAAGAAGTTTCAGTACTTCTATTTTCCATGTGGCTTTCCATTTGCCATCTAAAATTCAGTTGTTACTATTATTCCTATGGTAAAGAACAATAAAAAAACAAAGAGCTGAAAAGAATATCCAGAAAGATGGTTCCGAGGCTAAAAGTACCCGGGTTTAGTGACTGGCTTACAAAAATGTGGAACTCCAGTTCCAGGAGATCTGACACCCTGTTCTCATCTTCTTGGGTACAGGCATATACGTAGTACACATATACACAGAAAGCATTTGTTGCTCTTGCAGAAAGGACCTGAGTTTGATTCCCAATACCAACATGGTAGCTCACAATTATCTCTAACTCCCATTGCAGGGGATCTGATACCCTCTTCTAATCCCTGAAGGTACCAGGCTCACACACAGTGCACAGACATACACACAGACAAAACATTCATAAAGTAAATATGAAACCAACAAATTAACCAACCATTCATATAATACATACATACATACATACATACATAAAAATGTATGTGTACATCCAGGACCCAGGTTTCCAGAGTTATCTGACTGAGCTGCTACTTCTGCATCTCTATTAATATACCACCCTCTTATTTAAATAGATTTTTCCATGTTTATTTTTAGTTATGTGGATGTATATGTGTCTATGTATGAATATATGTACTTGAGAGCAGAAAAAGATGTTGGAAATCTAAGAGCTGGAATGTTATAGACAGTTGTTGAGTCAACAGAAGTGGGTGCTGGGAATGGAACCTGGGTCTTCTGCCAGAGCAATATATCCTCTTGCCTACTGAGCCCTTTTTTCAGCCTCTTAAATTGATTTTACTTTTGCTTTTGCTTGGGCTTGTCTCCTTTCTCAGAGTCAAAAAAGAGTAAGACAAGGTCAAACTTCTTCAAAGGACTTTAAAAACGAACCTTTAAAAAGTTATGAAAGCTTATGAAATATACATAGCTAGTCCTAATATACTTTTCCCACAGTGGCCTATGGAGCTTGTGTCTTAGTCCCCCTTAAAGGAAGTAAAAATGGAGCTGCCTATAGGCAACTAATTACATTTGCCATCTCCTTGCTTTGGGCTAGGCCACCAACACTCTGCTCTGCTTACCATGCTCACTTAGATACTTACACCACCCCCTTCCTGCCAGCCACATGCTTGTCCTTCTCACCTCTTTTCAGTCTCTGGACAAACATTAGCTGTTAGCAAGACCTCCTCCTGAGTATCTTGTTTAAAACAGCTACTACGAACCCTCATCTTTGTTCCTCCTTCCTCCCCTACTTTGTTCCCTCACTCTCAATACAGCTACAGTAAAGTCTAATAAATAAAAGCAAAGAAATGTTTACTGTCTTACTGTCTTACCTCTCCCTTCAACTTAAAACATAAACTCCTAAAAAGCAGAGACTGCTGTTTCTAGCTATAATATTCATATGTCAGTCAAACAGTAAGGCACAGAAGCAGACATTTTGCATGGACGATGAAATGGCTTAAAAAATTAGGTCTTACAGAACTAAGCTAGAGCTCACATATTCAGAGATAGTGCTAAGGGGGTGAGAGAAGAAGTATCATCAATCTAAAAACAGAGCTGGAAGACACTTAAAAGCTACCTGTAAAATCTTTTGGGTTCAGTTCTATGGAAAACCGCAAGTTAACTTGCCTACACATGAGAAATATGAGGAAACACTTCAAAAGTAAACAAATACACAGCAGATGAGCAGCAACTTTAAACTGTTTTCGTGTGTGTGTGTGTGTGTGTGTCCTTCCCCCCCAAGCCCCCCCCCACACACACACAGTGTTTCTCTGTGTAGCCCTGGCTGTCTTGGACCTTACTCTGTAGACCAGCATGGCCTCGAAATCAGAAATCCAACTTATTCTGCCTCCCTAGTACTGGGATTAAAGGTGTATACCACCACCACCCAGTGACACATTTTTTTAAAAGACTGATTTTGTGTGTTTATGCCTGAGTAAGTATATGCTATGTATGTGAAGGTGCCCTGGAGGCCAGCTCGAGTTACAAGCAGTTGTGAGCTGCCCAAGATAGGTAGGTACTGGGAACCCAACTCAGGTCCTTTGGAATAGCAGCAACAAGCATTCTTAACTACTGAGTCATCTCTCTAGCCCTAAAATAATCTCTAGCCCTAAGATATGGACATTTTTGTTTGGTTTAGTCTTTGTTGTTGCTGTTGAGACAGGGTCTCTCTCTATAGCCCTGGTTATCCTACAACTCAATATAAAGATCAAGCTGGCCTCAAACTCAGCACAGGGATCCTTCTGCCTCTGCCTCCTGAGTGCAGGCATTAAAGAAACATGTGCTACCAAGCCTGGCTCCTGACCCACTTCTAAAATACCTTATAACTAATATAGCTAGACATGGGACTAAGTCTGATTATGTATGTCACATGACTCAAACCTAGCCTTTTAAATGTCCATATTAAAAAAGAACTGTCAGGATCTGAAGAAAACCACTTCTTGTCACCTTCAAATGCCTCTTCAACAGATACCATTTCTTCCATGAGTCTGCTTAAACACCATCTACTTAGGTGTTTAATGTTTGACTCTGTTCCAGCAATTACAATGTTACTAACTCAAGCCTCACAAGACCCGACTCTCATTTTACAGATGAGCAAACTGAGGTACAGAATTCATCAAGTTCATGAGAGCACCACTGGCCACATCTGTCCTACTACATTATGCAGAGGACTCTCTATCAGGTCATAACATGTCCCTTCAGTGCTGTCCCTCCAATTCTGTTCCAGCTGGTTCTCTACTCCTCCAATCTTTAGGACTGCCAAGAACAATTCCATCAACATCTAAACTTCCCTTGTTTCTAGCATACTTCTAGTTCTTAGAATTTAGTTCTTAGTGGCTGACGAGAGATAAACTGAACAAAACATTAAAGTTAGCAGCTAACTGAAGGTATGAAAAGCTGCTTCCAGAGTTAATCTCCTTACAGACACTGTCTGTGTTGTTTAGTTAACTCTTCTGTAAAACTAGCTTCTGAAGGTCTGAATGTAAATCATGCCATTTGCTTCCTATTTTTCCTAAATCAGAGCTACCAGGAGACCACTTTAGATATCAGCAATTTGGCCTGGGGCTGCCTGGTTATTTTAAACCACATCTCTACAGAGAAAACAGACATGGAAAAATTCCTCTGTGGCCCTGTTCCTAGCCCTGTACTAAACACCCCTTTACTGTGGATTATTCCTCTTTTCCTATAGTAATATAGTTTATAGACTTGAAAGAAAAAAAAATGATAGCCATTATCTCCTGCAGAGTACATACTCTTGGTGCACATGAAGTATGAGTACCAAATGTGCTCCAAGTTTATACTTTGTAGGAGTTTCTAGTAAAGCAGTCAGGAAAAGTAAAATGTCAGAATTAGAAAATATAAGCTTGAAGTATTTGCAATTTATCAGCATATAAAATATCCCAATATGATCTGAGAGAGAGAGAGAGAGAGAGAGAGAGAGGAGAGAGATCCCAAAGTCAGCTGGTCATCAATGGGGATTTTCACGTGTATCTGAAAGAGATTTACCAACACACTTTTCTTCCCTTTCCTCAAACTTCACATTTCAGATGGGCCACAGAGGTGTACCAATGAGGTCCAGACTATCCCAGCTGTGACTGCTCTCTCCAGGCTGGTGGAAAGCTGGTAACCTCACCGTTTTATAGAAAACTAGCATTAATTTTTATTGTCTTTGTCATCATCTAAGAGCATTACACTCCCCAATCCATTCTTTTCTCCCTAAAGTCCTCTCAAATATCTTCAAGAAAGTTCTTAGCTTCCCAAGGAGGTTTAACTAATGGCCTTCTATTGCCAGAAAAACAACAGAGTATGTTCCTTACTTTAAAAAAATAAAATAAAATAAAATAAAGAACAAACAAAAAACTTCAGTCTTCGAGACAATAATTCTACTTAAATACCATGTGAGGATATAAGGATATACTATCTGCCCTCGTGACTCATTCTTCACCCAGTGATAAACTACTTTACAACCTTGGAGGGACAGTACAAAGACAATGGACAGGCTCTACCACCCTCTAGCTTCTGCCCCAGTTTGGAGACAGTGAAGAAATATACTCTCCTGGCTCTGACTAGGCAATTTCTGAGGCTGGGAAAGCATTTCTACAAACAGGGATGGCTCTGTCAGATATCTGGCAACCTAAACATTTAGCCATTTTCTCTGAGCTCAGAAACTACTTCTTGCCCTTGAGCTCAGGAGGTATCAACAATGCCAGGCCAGAAGATGCTGCTTTCCCAGTTTGGCCGTCCTTCTGCACTGCTGTCCACATTCAACAGATCAGGAGCTGGGGCGGTAGTGGTGCTACTTTTCAGAGTCTTTTCCAGCAGTGTTAAAGAGAAGAACAAGGGCGATTAGATTAAAAAGATCGGAAAAAGAGAGGCTGTTACGACCTAGAGGCAACTGCATGCAGCAGATATAGACTCCCACCAGTTCCCTCACAAATGTCCAAGAATATCTACTATGATAGTTCAGTCTCTGGTCAGCATGAACAGGCTCTCCCAATTCCAGTTCTTCCCATGTTGGCCCAATCCTTAATTTTTTTTCTGTTGTTTTTGTTTTTTTTTTCTTCTCCTTTTAGGTTTTTTGAGACAGGGTTTCTCTGTGTAACAGTCTTGGCCATCCCAAAACCACTTTTAGATCAGGCTGACCTAGACCTCCCAGAGATCCATCTGCCTCTGCCTCCCAAGTGCTGGGATCAAAGATGTGTGCCACAACACTCAACTATAATCCTTAATTCTTGTACTAAAATTTCTCATAGAATACAAAGCTTCTCTTTTCCTGAATGAACTCTAAATGATACAATTAAATGTTCCTCAAATTACCAGCTTGAATGTGCCACCTTTTTTCTACCAGGGCCCTAATTGATAAAGTTCTCATTCCCAGAATCTCAAAGTACACTATTATCACTTGGGGAGTG